GATTTTGCTTTCCGATCCCGCGACGGGCTCACGTTACCCCGTTTCTCAATAAGAGCAATCTAATGAATATGAAGAGTAGGCACTCCTATCATTTTGCCTGTTTGCTTTTTGGCATTGTTCAGACAAAATCACCACTCTATCTGTACGATAAACTCACTCTTTCTGGACGTCCAACTAGATCTGCCCAGCGCTTTTTGAGTACGCAACACAGTACAGCAGCATTTCGTGGCAGTTTTCGTTATGCCGCCACGAAATGTTGGAATAATATTCCACCACCTTTTAGAAATTGTCACACTGTAAAATCTTTTAAATTTAGATATAAACAGTATCTTTTGAATCAACAGAAATTAACTTAGCCTGTGCTGTGTTGTATAGATGCTATATTGGCATTTACTTAGTGGGTTCCTATAATTTACTCTATTAATATTACATTATCCTGCAATACCAGTGAACATTTAATTTAATATTTTTGCCATTTAACTGTTAAGTATTTTATTACATTATATTGAGTTCGTACTTGTCACCATAAATTATAAGGTTCGGCGTGTCGTTGCAGCGCGTACTGGTACTTCCTAACTGGCCGGTGTCTCCGGAAGACCAGCGTTGGGGTGTTGCAATATGCCTCGACTAATGCTGAGTAGACGTCGGTTTAGCGTTATACTTATATCTAGGCTTAAGAATGTAAAATTTGTAAACTGTAATATGGCATAATTATGACGCTAATAAACAATTTTTCTTTCTTTCTTTCTTTCTTTCTTTCAAAATGGTCTTACTTATAACTAAAAGCTGTCCTCGTTCTTTACTTGTATAGTATTTACGTATGCAGACAATAAATAATTATGTTCTTGGTTGTGTTGCTTACAAACGAGTGCCAAATATATACCGATTTTTTTGTTTATAATTTTCAAATATTTAGATTATTTTACCCTTACTACTCTTTAAATATTATCCTATTTGGAGTAACATAGAGCATAAATGATAGCAAAGCTTGGAATAATGACAGCTCAACAAAACATTTCAAAAGACAGTTTAAAAAGCATTTTTTTGATAATGATTAAAAACAACAAACATTTATAATAACTTTAATAACAGTTACAAAATCTAGTATTGCAAGTAAAACTAAATACCACCTGAACGTCACTAGAGATTAATGAAATGCAGGTGAAGGTCGCAAGGCTGTTGACCCGCGGCTCTGCGCACTTACGCACGCGCCGTTTACTAGTAATTGCAGATCGATAGGAAATGACTTAGTCCTTATATTAATATTGTGTGGGATTTCAAGAAGTAATATTATCGATTATAATTAATCTTATTATATTTACTTGTATGATGCCCTGATATCTAATAAAACTACTCTATTGAATTATGGTCAGTACCTTTTCCGTTTTTGTTAGAAATATGCGAATACTTGCACATTTTGCAAAGGATTTTAAAAAAGAACATACATTACACATTATAAAACATTATAAATGAACATACAGTTGATGAAATGATCTTTGCACCGATTCGTATCTCTTTATCTTCCGAGTACAATAGGACAAAAGAATGAGCCGTCTGGTAACGCACGTGCCATCTTTAAAGTGCAAACAAATAGTCTGAACACTTTTACGACTTGGCAGTTAACTCTGACCTTGATAATCTTCACGCGGGACTGACTGCTGAATTAGTCAGAAATAGAGGTGGGCGTTTAAACGAAAAGCACTTAAAAAGTCTTCTTTTTAAAATAATTCTTATGCGCATAAGCACGCTTTTAATTTTAAGCGTAAGCGTTGGTCACTGGTCACTTCTATAGATACTCAACAATTTCATTTTTTACAACGTGTCTAAGCAGTGGACGGGCGACCATCACAAAACTCGTCACACGACCGCGTTTGAATTCTGCAAACCAGCTATAAATAGTCTTGCATGGTGCTTCATTGCCAAAAGCAGTTTGAAGCCGAGCGAAACTCCGTTGAGCTGTTCAATTACACTTAAAGTCGTAAAAAACCATAGTACGAAAATTTTCACGAGTTAAATCCATGGTGATGTAGACAACCAATTTCTAAAAGGACGCCACAATGTAAAAACAAGTGACGGTCAGATAAAACAAACTGTATTCTTTAGCCAAAGAGATCCATTTTCAAATGTTGTAATTACATTTTAAATATTATTTACGTAAGTGGAACAGTTCCGGAAACTTATAGTGCGCCCTTTGTATACAGTTCCCCATAAAAGACTACGAAGAGGTCAGTGTTCAGTTTATTTGGATTAGAACGCTTCTATTTGTACACCTTTGATGGATCTGTAGAGTGTTGTTGTTAAATTAAGCAACACTTGGCTTAATTGTTCTTGGTTTACCTGGAATACGAATATCCAACAAAGTAAATGAACGAATGAATGAAATATGAGTTCTCGATCAAGATCATCGTGGGATAAACGGACGTGGCGCTAAGCGAGTATTTTTGTGTGGAAGATCCGGAAGTTTGTGGACATTAAATACAGACAAACGTGCAAATAAATATCTATAGCATTAATCATAATTAGATGTCCAAAATGTAAACAAAGGGTCTTTGTCAAAGTGTGAATGCAGTTGTGCTAAACCTTCTATTTTTAACGGAATTGAAAAGAGGTTCTCATTGTCTAGAATTTTAATTATCTACTACAAAATATTAAGAATAAACAAAAACTTTAACAACAACATACAATAATTTAATTAACGCACTACAGAGACAAGAAAACATTAGAGTACGAGAAACTAAGTACGAATGACAGATGTCATAGATTATGACACAACAAAATGGCGAAACAAAAAATGTTTTTGATCCCGTTTGTGTTACGAGTGTCATAAAACTATGTGACCTTAACCATAGTTTTTTTATTATAATTGTTGCATTAAACGAAATTAAGTAAAAGTATATGATCTAAAAAAATATGAATTGGTTTTTGTCTTTGTTTACATTTTGGACATCTATAATTATTTTTCATACTATAAATAGAGATAACACCGCGTTTCCACGCGATATCTCTTTAATTCACATTTCGGCTAAAAAATATCCTGACGCCGACTTCTGCATTGTCTTGTAAAATATGTACAATATCTGCCGATCTGCGTGAAAATCAATTTGAAACGCAAACAATGGAAATTGCATAATTTACCTCTCAAACCTGATAATTAGTTACTTAATAAAAGCTTAATTATTTGTTAATTATTTGAAACGTGCTTGGCACGCGAATGTTTTAAGGATGAATGCCTTCGACAGACGTTATCTATTTTGAATTTAAATTTTTAGTGTCTACGTTTGGCAATAAAATTATAAGGAATCTGTCTAGTTAGGTACAATTTAGTTATTACAACTTTAATTATTATCACAAAAGTACATAGATGCATTTAAAGGAAGTACGTGTTTTAAATATAGTAAATTATGTATCAATTTAAAAAAAATAGGATCTTAATAGCGCACTGACAATGCAAATATGCAACTAATGTGGTTTTGATAGCTGACTGTAGAGTCACCCTAGAAATGATCGCATTGAGCAATTTCAGAAACGTGCTTAATTTTTTTACACAAATAAATATGTGATGATATTTTTAAATTGCCTACTTTAAAAATCATTAAGCTAAAATTATATATTCACTATGTTATAAAACTATTGACATAGGAAACATGTACAACTAGTTTGCAGGCGTGGAACAATCTAAACGTCAGTAAAAAGTGACATGAATCGAAACTCGACTCTTTACTGTTTTGACAAAGAACAATGGCGAACTCCCATTTAAATTTTTGTTCACATAATTTGTATGCGTCTGTTTATGAAAAATATGTGAAAATATAGTACAGATTGTTTAAACAATTTGGTTTTGGATTTACTATTCGTAGACGTCTGTAATGTAATTAAAGACATTCCAGTTTCAAGTTTTGGAGGTTATGTTTTACATAAATTGAATAAAATATATTCGATGTATCAAAAGAAACTACAGGAACCTTAAACAGAGTTAATAGAAGTTGAATCGTGCCGTGGGTTTGTGACGTGACGAAAGGACAGAGGAAATTTTTTTTATCTCACTAACTCGGAAAGGTTTTTCGAAATCTGCGCGTAAAAGCGCTTTGTGCGCGCTAGCGTGGAAAAGGTTTTTGAAATTTGAACCTAACCTAATGGTGGTGCACCTAACTTTTTCCTTCAATGAAAAAAAGTCTCACGTTCAGTTCGTTGTCGTACATTATTTATGTAATTTAGATCACTTGGTATATTTTATTCTTGTTATGGTTGATATTAAATTGACCACGATGACGATAACTAATTGTGGTCATTAAATTATTTTAATTCGTCGAAGAACTAAAATAATTTAAATAATCACATAAAATTACAAGTACAAGCAAGAATAAATATTGATGAGATGCAAATTCAGAACGCATCTGAAGATAAACTTTTTCTTTTGACTAAAAAAATTGTGACGCGTTCCGAAACGCGATTCATCAAATCAATAGAAAACACTTCACACTATACATTCGGTATACGTTAGGAAAATAAAACTATAAGAGAGAGAACTTTCGATTCTAAAATCAAATACACTATAAATCTATCGACTCTACCTCATCCCTATGACAAACGTCAAACGAAGTGTCACAAGGATCATACTAGTTTGCGTTTGCGAAACTCCGAAACTGACAATTTAGAAATCAGTCCCGTTACATTTTCATTTAAATATAATTTTATTTCTAGATTTTCTTTAGATATAATTTGAAAATTCTAATGTATTTATTTTATACAAACTTGTAATTAAGACGTTTAAAGACGATAAGAATTATTTTAACAATCATTTCGCCATTGTTTTTTTATGTCCTAAAAACTACTCTCTATTTAAAATAGAATTATTGTTACAGCTGCATTATGTGATAAAAATTGAGGAACTCATTTCTCTACATTAGAACTTCATTATTTTCATCAAGCAATCTTGTTCAACTTAAGGTATTTTTAGAATTGTAAGCAACTGATCTAAAAAATATATTTCTTTATTGCAGACGTGCTTCGATGATGTCCCCGCGACAACTCATGCGCAACTCAAACATGACGCAGAAGTGGCAGCGCCGCGAGATCTCCAACTTCGAGTACCTCATGTTCCTCAACACTATTGCAGGTTAGTTAACAACATTCTAAGGCAGAAAGGAAGTGATTTATTTAAGTAAATTTGTAGCCGATATTAGAGAAAAACCTATACTTACAGACGTAAGTTTTACGTTTAGGTGGAAAAGGACAGACATATATCTGGAAGCCTGGTGGTCTAGTCTCGTTCTCCGTTCGACATTCGACCGAAACAATTACTATCAAATAAGTAATACTCAACCGAAACAATTTTATTTTTTTTTATTCGCATCATGCCTTTTTTTATTTGATCGAGTTTCACTTATTTGACAGTAATTGTTACGGAGGGATGTTTGACAGAGAACAAGAGTACAGGGCCTGGCCCCGAAAACAGATAAGAGTCTAAATGGAGGAACGTAATCTATTTCTTATTCTTGTAAGCGTCCATAATGCCAACTACATTAGTCCTGGAACTTTCCCATTCAATCTCCGCAATGCCAACTAAATTGGTCCTGGGACCTTCTCATTATGTAGCCACAGGGGGCCTACCACAACCTCTTAAAACAATATTACCTTAACTTTACATTGACTTTTCGTACCATGACGCGCTTAAAGTAGGCTTATTATAATGTTAAAACTAAGATGTGCTTTTTGACAAGTCGTTCACACAGTTCGTACTCTGACGCTACTTTAACATTAAAGTAATATTGCTCTTGTGTCAAATTTAGCAATCTTAAAACAGTTACACGGAAACAATATTATTACCAGTTTTATTGTCTTACTATTGATTTATAATGATTAAAAGTTAAATTGAGGTTATTTATTTACATATATCTCTTCAATATTTTGTTTATTTTTTATTTAATAGCGCATAGTAAATAATTTCTCGTTGAATAAAAATACGCGATGTTTATTTCTTAAAATTATGACAGCGACATCTATGAAATGAAATGAAAGAATTTATTTCAGACTACATGTCCATATAATGTTAGTAGGAACTTAAATAACTATGATAGTAGAATGCAAAATTTTCATTTTCATTTACATGAATGGACATCCAAATGTTAGTAGGAACTTAAATAACTATGTTAGTAGAATGCAAAATTTTCATTTTCATTTACATGAATGGACATCCAATGTTTAAGGATTGGGCTGTCCATCCTCTCTGCTATCACTCTAAGAAGACTGTTGGTACTGCCCCTCACTCTGGACAGCAGGGAAGCCACTCTTTTCCGAATGATGGCCTGGAAACCGTCGATTCTAGCCTCCGTGAACATCCCAGAGGCACTACAGTATCGAGGCAACCCCATCAGTCCCCTTAGGGCATTGTTGAATTGGACTCGCAGGGCATTGTAGGCTTTTTTGGTGTAATTGCTCCACAGGTTGCACGTGTATAGTGTCTGACAAAAAGTTTTAAAGAGGGCGATTTTCACCTCATGAGAGCATCGTGTAAACCTACGGGCCAGCATGTTACACCGTACCGCCAGTGCCCTGCGTTCCCTCTCCAAGTCAACGTCATCCGATAAATTTTCCGTTACCCAGTGACCCAGATACTTGAACTTGGTCACTTTTTCCAGTTCAGTTCCGTTTAGAGTGACTGGTGGCGTCGAATAGGTTTTGGAACCTGATTTGGACACCATCAGTTCACTCTTTTTAACATTGTATCTGAGCCCATGGGCCTCGGCATACCTTTCACATACATTGAGAAGTACTTTAAGAGCGCTGATTGAGGGGCTCAACAGCACCATGTCGTCTGCATAACTTATGTTATTAACAAAAGAACCATCTACTGAACAGCCGACACCAGTGCTACTGAGCTCCTCCATCACCCCATTTATGTACAAGTTGGATAGGTTCGGAGAAGTCAGCCCCCCCTGTCTTACTCCACATTTCACCTGGTATTCTTCTGAGGGCTTCCCAGCCCACCTAACAAAATTTACTTGATTTTCATACCAGTATCTAAACAAATCTGTCAATTCTTTAGGTATACTCGTATTATACATTTTATTACATAGGACGCTATAGGATACCATGTCAAAAGCCTTAGACAGGTCCAGGAAGCATGCAAAAACAGGCGTCCCCCTATCCGTGTAGTACCTAACAGTGTGCTTAAGACACGGAATAGCTGATTCTGTAGACAGACCAGGTCGGAAGCCGAATTGAGCATCGTGTAGCTTCACATGTTGCCCTAGGTATTTGTTAAGCACACTGTCCAGCACTTTGGCCATAATTGTTGCCAGAGAAATTGGCCTATAATTACTCGTCTCTGAAGCATCACCTGTCTTATTTTTAATTATAGGTACGACAACTGTCTTCATAAGATCAGGAGGCAGATACTTGTGCCTAATGCAAAAGGTGAACGTCATTGATAAGACCCTAGGAAGGTGGACATCTATATATCTATCGTCGCTCCTTGGCGACATTAACAGTTGACACTAGACTATAATTCCGAATTCACAACATGACGATCAAGACTTAGCTTGTTTTATTTATTTTTCTTTAATGAAAATGAGGAAAAATAATTGAAAACAACGTACTTAATAGATTTCATTATTACTTAGTTTTCTTCTTTTAGCATTTAAAATTCTCTGTACGTAAATAATATTAAGTGCTTTAACATTATACTACGATAGGACGATTCGGAACATCAAAAAAGAAAGAGATGGTGTACAGCTCATATAGCGTTATTTCTTTCCTGTTTTAGTAAGGAATAGACAATATTGGGAAATCATTCGTTCATTCAGTCACTTGAGCATTAATTGGTTGATAGGTTTGTCATGGTACGAATATGAGTAATATTATAATAAGCTTACTATAAGCTTACATTGAAATAAGATTGTTTTTGGAAAGGTTATGGTAGGCCTCCAGGACCTCCTCATTATCTATAATGCCAACCACTGAACCGTCTAGTATTTTAGGTATCTAAATTAACTAATGTTAATCTTAACATGTACAAATGAATAATCTTAAGTTAGATAGTGAAAATAAAACATAAAATCGTCGCAACCGGTAGAAGTAACTATTTAACAACCGGCGTGATAGTTACGTGAACCGTCTCTATGTCAAGTTGTTCTAAATTAGATGCTACGTGTTCGCGTGTTTTCCATTCGCAATTTCATGCAACACATGTGTGAAATTACCACATGTGATTACATGAGCAACATCATGGGATGTTAATCTAGGTTTCCTACATTTCACGAAGCTGTAAGCACACTTAAGAAATACAAATTACTTGGATTTTGGTTTACGAAACTTGCATTGCATTGCACATACGTCCATAAATTTTAATGCTCCATAAGTGAATTGATGTTTCTGTTCTGTTGCTTTTATGAAATAAAGAACATATTAAACTTACCACACATAACATTTTAATTTTGCAACGCGCTCTTTGTATTGCTGCCTTTATGTATACTCTTGAAAAAAGAACATAGGATAATTTGTGCGAGGAACAATCATTAGTGAATGACTTTTTAAGAAGCTTTTTAAGCCAATTTGATTATTTACATTACGTATTTTTATTTATTTTTTTACATACAACCAAAAATCTTTACAATTTTCTGTTGAATTCGTAAGAAGGCTCTCAGAACCAAAAGGTCGGCTAATGGGTCTAGTATCTCAGGGCAGCGACTGTACCTGCAGAAAACAAGTTCCAGGGACCTCGTGAAATGTATGCATGAATCACAACACTTGAGCCGTCTCATCGCGTTGTGATCCAGTGGATCATAATTGGATTATTGTGCTAAACAACCGAGTGTTAAACCAAGCACAGTCATATAGTAAACACATTGTCGAAATTGGTGATTCCGAATGTGGTCTCTATCAACGCCCAGGCGTCTACTCTAACTTACAAGGGGTTACTTACAACTCCACTTAGAGGGTGTCCACAAGAGTGGAACCTATGTCTTGCTTTCGTATCATGTATTTACATAGGTACTAATACTTTCTTATAAATAGACATATCGCACTGCTATTACAATAGTGTTGTAACTCAAAATATGTGAATTTCAAGATTATACATTTGCTGAACGTAAAATTTGAATCACTACACGTCAGTAAAAAGTATCGTTTAATATTGTACGAAACAATTAAGAGGGAGCATGCCAAAAAAGTTTGGACGTTGGCTCCGCCCTTTGTGAAACAAATATATGCCTGAAGTTCGCGTGACATGCGACAGGAGATGTTGAATTTTGCGTATTAAAAGTACCAAATTCGTTTTAGCGGAATAACACTAAAACTAAAGGGATTTAAAAAATCCGTAGTGACAGTTCTCGATCATGCATAAATATAATTAATTATCTAATTTTGTCCTAATAACCTGTAGCATTTCGAGGATGAATCGAAAAAATGTGAAAATTAGAGGTCATTTCGTGATTTTTATCCATCGAGGAAACTTTATTGTTTTATGTTTCTGATTAGTGTCTATGCTTGAATATATCGTGTAGTTACTCATACAATATTTTATTTTTAACTTTAAAGTGGATATACCCCTCTAAAATCAAATCGAAGATTAGGAATTTTTCCTCTGCTCCCTCTTAAAGATATCTACTTAACTCCAAATGAGATAAACTTTATGTGATAGCCCACAGTTTTATTTTTAAATATATTTGGCAAGTAGGAAATTGTTTAGACGTCTGTAATAAATTTTAACCTATACATAAATTTTAATGATCTTCCATCGATTCTGAAAAATTACACTTTTTTTGGTTAATACACTATTTAACAGTGCGATATAAATTACCTATGAAGTACTTAAACAATTCACAACAAACAATTTGTTCAGTTAGTAAAATATATAAACTTAAAATTGCTCACTTGATACAAAAATTGGCACTTGCTCTATCAGACATAAAAGTTTATGAACCGCTGCCACTGGTCTAAATAAACAATCCTTACGTGTCCTAAATAATGCCAATAATCAGAATACTTGTTTTCATGACTACACTATAAATATGACACAAAAGCGCAAAGTTATCACACGTTGAAATCAATACGGTCACTAAACGAAAAAGTAAATTTTCGAGAAATGAATTTTAATGTTGTAACAACAAGGTTAAA